GGGGGGGGAGGGAAGCCTCATCAGTAAGACATCTGAATATGACACTAGAAAACAGCTTTCTTCAACCTTCTTCTAACAGAGGGACTTGACAAGGTAACAGACAAGTGCCTACACTTTTGCTTTTCTCATGAACTCATGAAGTTTATGTCCCGTATTTTCGAGATGAATATGAGACCTTGGATTCTGAATCTGAAAAACATGGACCAGTCAGAACTGAAAGTGAAGTCAAACAGAATGTACATTTTAATAAGCACTCTCAAAAAAGCATCCCAAAGTGCTCAACCTGAGCACAAAATTAGAGAGCATTTCTTATTTTCCCTGTTGTGTGCCCTAGTTCCGTGAAACTGAGAAATATCACCTCCTCTTCTCACAGTCCCAGCATGATAGTATACTTAGTAAACATTCAAACACTGGAATGAGGAGGAGAGTCATGAGGAAATTAATAGATCTATCTTAAGGACATTTGGTCACGCAGTGAAAACTTGAAAAAGAGAAAAACTTAATAGCTGCTCATCCACTGAACACAAATTGGTCTGCGCACTGAATGAGGCAAGTATCCTGAAAAAATATGATGAGGCCATGTTACTTCATACTGTATAGCAATGCCTAGACAGAGAGGAACAAATAAAGTTTGCTTCTACATAAGAAAAGGGCACTAAAGCCTTAGTGAAAAAGTTGCACCATTTAAAAATACTGAATAGGCTGTACTCTTGTATCTTTCTTCTTTCTAAATATCTTAATCTTTTTTATTACTGTTTAAGCCAACGTTATTACTGATGTAATTAATAATGTTCACCTTTTCCTCGTTGTGAGGAAGAAGTAAGCTATGGCTGAATTTATTTCTTCTTTCTTTGCACAAAAGGTCTGTAAATTGCTCCTGATGAGATAACATCAAGGAGGAATAAAGTAGGTTTGTTTCCCAGCCATGGAAATGAGCTGCTCCCATGATGATAAAACCAGCTTTACTCTCTGGAGGTATGAGGATTTTACACATCACCCCAGGAAAACAGCAGTAGAGGCTTTCTGCTTACCTACTGCCAGCAGCACAAAGGAAGGGGCTACCAGGCATCTAGGAACCTCCTGTACTTAAGGGAGTACAAAGTGTAAGGAGATGGACTGGCAGACTTAATAGCCTGGATCTTGACATTTTCCAGAAATACAGCTCTACTCAGTTGTACTTTATTTCACATTTCTTGCCTACCTGTAGATTACCTTACCTGTCAGCCTCTGTAATAAACTGTTGTGACTTGTTCTTCTGAAGTCTCAAACCAAGAAATACATTTCATTGTATTTTTCAATACATCTCTTTAAATTTAGTAACTTCATCTGGGACAATGTTGATGAAGGCTTGGTGATCTTCTAAGCTAGCGCATTTTCTTCTATCTGCTTACAGATTTAGTCCCTCAGTATTTTCTTTATTGAAGTTGAAACCCATACATTTAACATTTAGCCACTGGCACTATAAATAAAACCTATGCGTAATACTTTGGAGCTATTTAATTCAATGGCAAAAATCCAGCTCTTTGAAATGACACCAAGATTTCACCTTCCATTTCTTCAATAAACAGGATTTACAGGCAAAAGTTTTGCATCTGAGCAGTTCTGGTGGCCAGAATTTAAATGTCCAAAACCATGCTGAATACAGAAAATCCATAATGAGTTGCGGGCTGGCAACATGCCTTATAGACATAGAATTAGTCTTGTTAAGTTTTAATAAAAGGTTAAGGGAGGAACGCTTTGAAACAGAAAAGAACCATTCATGATTAAAAATACAGCGTATTACAGAATTTTTGAATATGACTGAGAAAAGATATAACAAGAAGTAATAGCTAGAAGCTGCAGCCAGACAAATCCAAACTTGCTATTACTCTCCTAAACCAATTCCGAGTACTGACCAGCAGAACACACTTCAACCACAATAGATTTTTTATCATTTGATTTCTCCAAATCAAAAGCAGGTATCTTTTTGGGAAATATGTTTTAAGCCAAACACAAAGGTTACTGGGCTTAATAGATAGTGCATTACTGGCTTGTTATAATAGGAAGTCAGGTTACATGATCTCATGATCACCTTCTGCCCTTTAACTATGGGAATAATGCTTACTTGCAACTATACATCTCCTTTTCTCTTTCCTGTGTAGACTGACCTGTCAATGCAAATATTTCATCTACAGTAACTTACCTAATACCCTTAAAAACAAGTTCTACAGCAGATTTAAAAAAATAAAAAAATCACAGACCTACTTTCTTCTTAAAATTTAAGATGGTAGATTTACTTGAATTTAACAACAATGCTTTTGTATTGTGTTCCAAGCTGCATCTATCAAACTCCTAGGCTTGAATGCAAGAAAAATCATCCAATTTACTTAAAGTAAGCTTAGCTAAGCTATTGTCTTTAATGGGACTATTACAATTTTTTCTTAACCTAACCACTGCCTTTCTATTCCACTTACGCGTCTCTTCTTTTGTGTGCAACACACACCCATGCTACTAGACCAAAGTCTTCCACCAACTCAAATCAAAAGTGCTTTTTTCCCTCCTTTATGTCTAAAAGCCATTCAAAACTAATACATTTACTTTTCCTTGAAACCCGGTCCTAGGAGGCCAAGATTCACCAGAATGCTTTGGGACCAAACTAACTTAAAGGCCTCCTCTTCATTTCTAGGTATCTGTTCTGCCTTTCTGCCAAGCGTTCTAAGATGAAATACTAAATTTAAAACAATCATAACTGAGATTTTTCATTCACATGATGCACAATTCAATTAACAGAATGTCCAGTGTAGATGAGACCAAGAAGATTAAATCAGCCAGCAATGAAAAAAGGGTTCCCAGTAGTGGGCTGCAGCTGCAATCCAATTCTAGCTATGGTTAATCTGACCCCATATCCCACGTCTCTCCCCAGGTCTGGGGAGTGCCTAGGAAAGACAGCATCTGGAAGCAGTCTGCACAGATCTCTCTGACTGCAGAGGCTGGCACATGGGCACCATCTTTTCAGCGCACACTCTTCAGACTCAAGCACAAAGCAGGCCAGGACATTAGTAGGTTTGGCACCTACCCAGAAACTAACAACATTTAAAACACTTCACCTGTAGGGAGAGAAAAGTCAGCATCACTGAGAAGTGCTAGACCCAGTGTTCAATCAATCAAAGTCATCGAAATTGTGTGATAAGAGTTCTTGTCTGTTACTGAAAGATCCTTTTGTGTTACCAAAAGAAGTGTATGACAGCCTACCCACAAGGCCTGGTACTGAATTTTCACCAAAATACCCGAAACAAATGAAAAGTAAAATCTACACACACGTGTCACTGAACACAGACAGAACATATACATAAGGTTTAACGCCACTGTTCATTCTATGTAAGATACCACCTACAGCTCCAAGAGACTCAAGCATGGTATATGCCACTAAGAGGAATACTTACTTTTTGGCAAATCCCCAGTGCTTGAGGCTGAAACTGTTCTGCTCCTGTCATGAGATGGGCTGCTCTCCTCTCTTTCAGTTACAGCTGATTCTTCAGAAACAACAGAACCGCAAGCTACAGACTCTAGAGCCCCAGAGAACACTGAAGCTGAAAATTCAGAGAACTGTGACTCAGGAATTTTATGACGTCCATTTGGCAATTCACCATTAAACTGTTCGTAGGAGCTGCTATAAGAGTAATCACTTTTTGCATTCGGCTCATCAAGATTATATTCCTCTGGATTTGGACACTCTTCTTCTTCCTCGTCTTCATCTTCAATCTGTTGTTCCAATAGGAATGGGCCATTCACAATATGACCATTTGTTTTGGGGGATTCTATCCACTTAGGGTCTGTAGGGTCAGTGTTGACAAGCTCCTGCTCAACGTCGTCATCTTTTTCAGTGTTTTCTTTCTCTGTGTCTTCTTTTTCATCCTGATCTTCTGCTTCACCTGAAAAAATTCAGTGAGCAACACACTAGATCATACATCAATATAACACTTGAGACTAGGCATAATTCTTCATTCTTCAGTAACTACTTGACTTCTGACAAGTCAGAAGAAATATTCAGAAATATGCAAAGACCTTAAAAATCTAAATTAAAGGCGAAAAAGAACTAATAAGGCTGTTGTAAAAAAGAAGCCATGGGAAGTGGTTCAGGAGGGAACAATTCAGAAGAGAAGAACATTATGAAGGGAAGCTATATGAGGACTTGAAAGCAAGCTTGACAAATCTGTAACTCAATCTCTGTCAATCACACAAGTAGGAAAAACTGCAGTAACAGCAGAACAAAACTAAAGCACGCCAAAAACCAGACAGTCTCAGTAGTCACATTTTTATCAGAATTTGAGAGAGTTCACAGGAAAACCAGGGAAGCCAGAACACCATTGGACTCTCCAACTACGGGGACTAAACAAGAATTTTAACACGACATCTTAGAAAATGTAGTGAAGAAGCTGCAATTATTATTATCTGAATAGATCATTACAACAAGCATTGTAACAAGAAAACAGGAAAGTAAGGTTGACTATGTTACAGAATACAAATTGATCTTATTTTTCCCTCTATCTCACCAAGATACTTGGTTATGCCACTTAATGGGGTATGACAACTGACTGTTCTGTTGAACTTTCTATGTGCTCTTTTGTGGGATTTGATAGCTAGACTGCTGTGGATGTTTTTATTCACTTCTATAGTAGGTTTGACTTTTCTTTTCCTTTTTAGACTTTGTAGTTATGATTTTACCTACAAGAGAAAATGAAACTTAATGATCACAGAAAGTTTGGAGACTTTGTTCATCCCGTCACATGCAATGCTGCAATTACTTCTCCCACTGAAACAGTAAATTCAGGGTCAATAAAAGCAGGCAATACTAACCATCATCATTTCCAGGTTCTTCATCTACTACCTCTTCTATATCAGCTGTTTTTAGTTTCACCTCTGGGTGGTACTCATCTTCTTGTTCATTTGATGGTACAGCTGAGGTTACATTTTCTTCTATTTTTTTCCTTTCAGCTTCTCGCTCTAGTTCTTCTATTTCCTGCAGGCGTTTTTCTAACAGCTCAGCTTGTCTCTTCTGTTTTTTCTTCAGTTTTTTCTTTTTGTTTTTGGATATTTTTCCAACCTGAAATATTAATACGAATGAAAGAAAAAAAAAACCCTAAACAGTTGTTCTCAAGGCACCTCACACCATACTCCCTTGCAGTACGATTACTTTTTATTTGAAAATACTGGATGGCAATTAGCATAGTAAATATGTTGCTTTTTCCATTTTACTTCAAATCAAGAACGACATAGGGTTATACAAAGCAAAAAAAGCAAGCAAAATCTTACACAGTTATACAGCTTTTTACATAGTTGTTTATCAGATACAAGAGCAAAATACATCTACAATGCGATATTAAAATTCCTATGATCCTATAATCTCAACTAGCACAATAATCTTAAACATCAGTCTAGAACAACAGATGATATTGCATGTGGAAGATATTCTGCTGTCATATCTATTGAGTTACATATAAATTTTACACATTATTTCTCTCCTGTACAATGCAGGTAATGACCAGCAAAAGTATGCTGAGAAACTTGAAAATGGTGAAGAATTTTAAATAAATCCTGTGCTGTTCAGCTATTTCCCTGAGAAAGGAAAGCTTTTTTATTATTCACTTCTGGCCCAAAACATATGAATCACAAACAACAGATGGCCATTACGAAAAGTTTCACATTTTATATAACAGAAGGATTGAAAAACTCAGGTACAGTAACAAGAAAAATTAACACATCTGAGCTAGGATTGAAACAGTTTCTTATATTTTATGTGAATTCTGACTTCTATTTTTACCATTTGATAAATTAGATCTATGCAGTTTTCATTCATTGTTTAGATATCACAATAAGAAATCCCCATATAACCCAAAAATAAAGTACAAGGAACAAAGGGAAATATTATTTGCTCAAAGGTTTATCTGTAAATCCTGTTATCTTCAAAAGAAGCTATGGGACATTCAAAACAAGACAGTTAATTTGACAATCCTACTAATTTTCATTCATGTCATATACCCATTGAAATTATGTACTTTCTGTACACACAGACACAGAAATCAGTTTTGACCTCAGATATTTCTAAAAAGCTGTATTATCAGTGGTTATTTGCTACATATATATGAAAAAAAAAATCTTTCAAACCTCATAAAAAACCCTCTCCTTTAAGGCCTTGATGTCCTTAAGCTATGCGCAGGGCATGATATTTAGTGCATGCACCAGTATTTTTGTCAGGATTTGAACAGAATGGATTATTCTGCGAGAGATGAAAATGGCAATGCTAACTTTCTTTGACATAGCTACAGAATTGTAAGTGTATGAGAGTCTCCATCAGAAAAATAATGTGCTTAAAACTGGTAAGGCCACAGACATTAAAAGAAAAGTGTTCTTTGAAAGACAAAAGCTTTATTCAAAGTAAACTTTTAAAAAGGGTAGAGACTACCAACAGTCTAATAGCTATTAATACCTACAAAAAACCCAGAAAATAAGGTAGTTAATCTGAATTACATAACAATACTTACAGGCTTTTGTTGTGGAGCTGTACTCACTAAAAAGAAAAAAAATAAAATTTTAAAGGTATATTTTTATTAAAACAACTCTATAAAAGGAGAAAGTAGTAGGAATTATGTAAAAATATTCTTAACTAAATAGAAGCAGTGATTTTTTGTTTAAAGTCAGATTTTTCACTCTTTACAAGTACCTGCTGCCTGAAATCATTTGATGTCTCCACTACAGCATCTGGAATTGGAAGCAGCTAGCATCAATTTCTGTCCACTCTGTTGTGGTTGGTGAAGAGTTAATGAAAGTCAGAAAGGAAAGTCTGAATCAGTAAAGAGTGGACAGAAAACATTAAATGACTGCAGCGTCATCACAGATCAAATGTGTGTAGTCAGCTGACTGAGCAGGTATAGATAAGATTTTCAACAGTTCAGGGAATATCAACAAGAAGACTACTGTGTTGCACTCAACAGAGAAGTCAAATATTCATGTTTCCCTCATTCTGAAACAAGGTAATCTGATTGCAAGGACGATGGGCAGGCAGAAGTGCCTATGGCAAAAAGCACACCACCGCAGAAAAGCATCTCCAGCATGGACCTCTTCCTAAGCTGCTCTCAGAAGGATACCATCAATGACTAGGTCTGATGAGATCACAATAATAACTGTGAAAATGCACAGAACAGCACCACAAGCTTCCCCTCCCTCCAACCCAATCAAAATAACCAAATATGGGAGACAGAGCCAAAGTGGTAGTGAGAAAGAGGAACTGAACGGGGGAGGAGAACCTTTCACCAACTTTTTCAGACACACAGGCATATGGCAATTAACAAATGCAAAATAAAAAACAGAGACAGTTGAGACTTTAGAGTTCTTTTACAGGTTCAGCTCCTGCTGCTAAGTTCAGGGAAAAAAACTGCTTGTATGCCCCTGAGAGGGCAAGGTTTTCAAAAAGGCTGACTTAGGGTTCTTAAACTTGAGTACCATCACTGCTCTAAAAAGGGAAATTATGTAGAAACTATTCTTGAACTGCTGCAAAGAAAACACATCTTCAGCTCCTGTGTGGAAAGCCATAGATTTAATTACAATTTGCTAACAACAACGTGTGATAAAAACTCCATCAATATAGTCCTTAAAATAATATTTATTTTAATGTCAGGAAGCAATATAAAGGCTGCATGAACAAAATCAAGTTACTTCCCACACAAATAACATCCAGCCTTTAGCTATGCAATTACACATTATGTAAAATTCAATACAATATATTCATGATTAGTAAGATTTTGCATCTTAACATATCTAATACTGTGGAATATTTATGGATTTTGACCACAGTATTTGTTCCAGATATAGCAAGTATTTTATTATACCTCAGAGATTTTAATCTGTAATATATTTTCTGACAATATTAGAAAGGTATTTAAATGTTACTATTTTTCCATTGCCTGTAGCTGATGTGCTGGAATAGCAAATAAATAGCAACCATGGTACTAACAATCACTGGAAAAGCCACACTTTCTCCTTGTTCATCTTTACTGATTGCTGTGAACTTCTTTACCTTGGTTTCTCCTAGCTAAACATAATGTACAGTTCCTGTCTAAACTCTTGGGAAGTTTAACATAAAACATTTCACATACAGTGCTAGGGAGAAGGGCTTATCATGAATTCAGTTAGGTATAATAAATTTCATTTTCAAAGGTGAAAAACTATGGATTCTTAAGACTTTTCATTGCATTCTGAGAGTAAGTTATAACTGATGAGAAGGCAGAAAATTTCCCAAGGACACTGATGAACTTGTAATTGAACTAGACACATAATTTAGGTAAGACTATTAATTATTATCAGCATTAGAGATGCAAGGCTCCAGCGTGGCTAAACCCCAGCCATTACAGCTTGTGGGGTGGGAGAAGAGTAAGTTTATACCAATAAATCTTTTCTGTATTTGGGGACCCTAAAAAATTGTAAATGCAAACTGAGAAGAAAGCATTTCCCTGATAGTTTCCAGAGCATGAATAAAAATTAACTAGACATGCATATTTCACATGAAATTATTTAAAATGTTGATTTTCATTAAATAAAATATTGCTAGCACAAATATATTGATGGAACTTTACTACATATCATTTAAATACACTATCATACCTGCTGAGCCAGAGGGAGGAGGAGCACCAGCCTTCTGCCACTCGGTAGCTTCAGCAGCCATTCTACGAACATAGGCATCATCCACACACATCAAAATGTTTTCTGGCTTTATATCCGTATGGATGATCTTGCACTTGCTGTGTAGATAATCCAGACCTTGAAGTACCTAATTACAAAAGAGTTTTTTAAAAATTTATTTTAATTACCCAGACAAAGCTAAATGTATTTATTATTAGTACAGAGATGTCCGATTGATTGCCTGCAGTCCATATGTGGCCTGACAGGATAATTTATTTAGCTCATAAACCCAGTTATTGAGACTTCCATGAGTAAGACGCTGGGTAGCTGAATTGTCTTGATGACAGCAACCTGCTCTCAGACTTCCATTTCCCAAGTGTTCTTTAGTTGATCTGCATACGTGTTAGAAAGGTTGATACATCCTCCCTCGAAAAAGGAATTGGGCTGCTTGGTCAGCAAAGATGATCCTCACCACTTCCTTGTTTAAAAGATAATTATTCAAAAAAAAACACTGCAAGTACTACACACTGTAGCTGAAGTCTGGTTTGTGAATAACCCCCTTACAACCAATTATAATAAAAAGCAAAACCAGAACTGTTTTGCTGGGATGAAACGCTAACTATAGTTTTCCTTAGAATTCCAGGAGTAATTCAGCTTTTAATGTGACCAAGATGTCACATAAGGATTCGTCTGACTGTATTTGTCACATACATTTTTCTACTCATCTTTCATACTCTCTGCAGGCTAAATTCTGCTAGCTCATATCAAACCTGCATATCCAAAGTCTTAAAAATGCATTATGGGATGAAAATTAAAATATGATTTTTACACAATAAAAAAAATTTCTCAAATTTTGACTGGAACAGGACAACAGTTTGTGTGATTTTACAAGTACTTTCAGCAACATCTAGGTATGATAAACTGTGGAAGTCAATTATTACAATTACTCAGTGCAGAATAATGTAACAGCATAAAACAAGCTATTGCTATGATAACCTACTAAATATTGTAGAAAAATATGAGCAAGAAAGGAAAAAAAAGGCAGAAACCTAGCTCACCCCACTGAAAAGACTTCTTGCGATTTTTTCAAGAATGTTCTACAGCAGCAAACAGACCTCCACACTCATGAGCTCCAGCTACAAGAACATCCTGCCATTCTACGTATTTTATAAATAAATTAGCAAGCTCCTTGCTCTCAGGATCCATTAAGGCCTAACAAGTTAGACTGAACTTTAGCAACAAAACATGTTGGTTCAAAATACCAGTAACAGAATACAAAGACCTTAGTATACGACCCAGTCCTGAGCTAGTACCAGAATCAGCATACAAGATAGCTCAGGTAAGAGAAGAGGAGCAGCAGCATGCATACGGTATTTACACTCAGGCTAATGTATCCTAGAAACACCTCAAGCGCCTGGCTCTGCTTTTTCCAATTCTGGAGCCAGACTGGAACAGCAACCACTCTGAAAAGCTTTCTTTATATGCCTGTATAAGAACTGCATGAACATGCTGATGACTTGCCAAAGCAACTGAAAGAACGTACAGCATGTCTCAAAGTAAGAAATGTTAAAGAAAGATTAGTTTATACTGGGAAGGTAGTTAGTGGTTAAGTGACTTCAAATTTTAGAAGAGGCATTAACAGCAATAGCAACATAAGATAGATTATAATAGCCTCTTTCCTCCCCCACTACACGACAGACCATCTTACAAATCACCACTGAATGTCTGTAAATCTGAGGCCAGGAAAAAAAAAGATTCCAGAGTATGCTGAAAGTCATAAACATTCAGAAGAAAAAAATATCTGTTCCACTGTGATAGGCAGAAGTAGAATTAATGTGACAGTAGATTTGATATCTCCCACTTTAAAAAAAAACACGTTTCCCTCTTTTAAGTAACAGTGTTAGGGTGACAGCTTTGTCTTTAATTTGGGTGAAGTATTTTTTTGGGGGGAGGGGACATGACCAAAAACAAAACACCCAAGAAATTCCCAGAATATTTTTTTAGAATCCAAATCAATGCCGTGAGTTACCATAAAGATCACTCTGCTAGAATTTTATAATTAGAATGTTCTTAGCTGTCTTAAAATGTGGATAAGACTGCTTCATCCTAGAAACTGGAAGTACATTATACCACTAAATCATTAAGGAAATCTATACTACATGGACATGCTTTGCACCATACTCTGAGATAACAGAGAACAGAGAAAATGATCCTAGTTTTTATTTATTTGTCCACTGAAAACAGAAAAAAATGAAATTGGTAATGTATTGTGACTATGAAAAATTATGACAGATCCTGTTACCACAATCCAAAATGTAAATTAGAAGGCTGTATTTTTTCCCTTATAAAGGTCACATGGTTAGTTTCACATCAAGAAATTCACAGGTTGCATTTTCTAATTATTCTTCACTTCTTTTTCTTTCTATTTAATTCAAAAAGCCACATCACATTGACTCATTAAACTCTATTGTAAATCAGAGCAAAAGTGAAAATTTTCATTGATCTAATACACAATGCTCATTTCAGCATCAGTTTTAGAACAGAATCTTCTTAAAATAGACTGACGCTATATGTTTTACAACCCAAAGTAAGGAATACAGAATTAAATAAATGGACACTTCCAATCATCTCCACTGCAGAAAAAGTACTGCAGCAACTATGCCTTTTTTCAGTTCTGTAGGGTCTTCTGTTGCAGAACAGTTCATACAACTCTACCCCAGGGAAAAAAAAAAAACTGCTTAAAACCAAAATGGAATTTCTTACTAAGAAACTCAACCCTCAGCTGCTTTTTAAAATAAACCTAATTTGTCCCAATGCTCAGAACTACTCAAAAATTGAAAAAATACTTTCCAAATCAGAGCATAAAAAATTATTTTCAATTGTAGCACGCAATTACAGTACTTGCTGAAATAAAATGGTTTGCTGTATAGCAACACCAGTGCAATAATTGAATTGTTTCATATTCAAGTTTCATAAATACGTTTTTAGAACATGTGTGGCACAAGCTTCATCTTAGTAGAAGAAAGAAAAAGGATCTGTATTATCTTTAATGAGATGAACAACCTGGAAGTCTTAACAGTCAATGCTACTCTCACTAGTCCAATCAGTTCATTCCAACCTCACAAAAATGAAACCCTTGTAATCTTTCAGGACTAACCTGTTCCTCTTTTTTCAGGTATCTGCTAAGATGCAGACTTCATAACACTGCAGACAACCTGTTCCAGCCTGACTACTGATACCTGTAAATGTAAATGGTACCCTCATGACCAGAATTTCTCTTTTTGTCACTCGCGTACATTGCTTCTTGTCCTTTCACTGTGTACTGACAAGAGAAGACTGGCTCCATTTTCTCTATCTGTGCTGAAGATGTCAAAAGTTTCCCCCTTTATTAGCCTTTGCTTCTCAAAATCAAACAAACCAGTTCTCCCAAGAGCTCTCATACCACCTGTGCTGCAGCTCCCTCATCCTCTTGACAGCCTTCCACTGGACTCACTTCAGTAAGCCAATGTCTTGCACTTGGAGCCCAAAACTGTAGCTAGTCCTGAAGATAGCCCTCATTCTGCTGTCTACAGTCTTGCTAACATGGCCTACTACACAGTTAGCTTTGGTAATCACAGGAGCCCACCACTGACTCACGTTCAGCTTGTCTACCAGGACCCATCCTGCCAAGGCTGCCATTAGTCTTCACATTTTCAGCTAGTTCTTCCTTATTCAAAACCAGTCCAGTAACATGCGTCTCCAGCCTGCCTCCTTGCTGAGATACAGCTCACCCCATGCTGAGAAACTATCCTCAACACACTCCAGAAATCTCCTTGACTGCATGTGCCCCACCGGAGCAGATACCAAGGTGGTTAAAAGTCCCCCATAAGAACCTTCTTACCTACTTCTGACACTGGCAGCCTGCAGCAGATACATACCATGATGTCACCCTTGTTGGTCTCCCCTCTGACCAGGACCCATTCTACAGCAGAGATTCAAATATTTAAGCTCAACCCCTCTCTCCTGGCCATCCTTTCTAAAGTCCCTTTATCAGGCTACTTCTGCTCTCCAGGCATCTGAGCATTTCCACCACACCTTTGCGTTTCCGGTGAGGTCACAGCTCTGCAACTGCATATGGATTTCTAATTCCTGTTCTTTGTTCCCCACGCTGTACGGATTTGTACATGCCACTTGAGTCAAGTCCCCAAGTCACAACAATCACAAACAGTACTGAGAGCCTCCCCCACAATTCTGTCCTTCAGGCCCCTGTCCTTGCTGACCCACTTCCTACTGGGTTGTGGTCACTATCTCTGAAGATCCCACCTGGAAGTTCTCCTCTACTAGGTTACCGGAGCCTGTTGGCAAAGACGACGTGAAGCTGCGTTCAGAAGTTTTCACCTTCCTTCTAAGAAGGGGTTGTCTTCAGCTTGGATCCATTCAGTGGTCTGGCTTATAGCCTGTTTCTGCAAACAGGCAGCGTAACTGAAGCAAGAGTAACTGCAGCAGGGAGTTCCTAAACCTGGCTTTGCTACTAAGCCCAGCGTACCAAGAAATTACATCGTAATTTCTCAGGTTTTGGCCAAACTCCAGGGCAACAGTACCACCAATACTAAAACATTCCGGGGTAAAAAAAGAAGACAACTTCTATTGAAAACAGTGGATATTTATATGCACATACAATACAAATACACACACTCTCTTTTCTTAGTAGAAATAAGGAGCTGTAGTATTGCAGTGCTCCAGCCAAACTGAGCTGCCTGCTGAGGCACCTAGTTGTACAGAAATTAATGGACTCAAAATTTCAACTGTATTCTAACAACCGTATCAATCAGGTTATTTAGCTAATTCTGATTAAAGAGCTGATAGATTGATGTTCACCAGCGGACATACAATAATAATTACAAAGAAAGTAACTACTTTAACTGATTGCTTATTAATAAAATAGAGGGAATGTTGATGAATACAAGCTACCTAAGTGCCAAAATATTTCACTCATCATTTGTAGGTATTAACTGCACAGAGATTAATACTATGTACAAAATCACAGATATATATATATGATTCTTCCTTGCTGAGACACTATTTCTCCTTAAGATCACGTCTCAGCAATTTGATTTTCATAGTATAGCAAAAGAACATATTTTGAAAGAACATGTCCCAGTGAAATGTTCTGAACTGTTTCACCTTGTTCACCCTCCAACTCTACAATGATTTTTCAAAAAACACTTTTTTCCTTTAGAACCTATTTCTCAGAGAGATACAATTTTTGTTCAGTTTTATAATAACAATGTATTATTTCCCACTGTTCTGATGTTTTATTTTCCAGAAGGTCTTATTAAGAAGCATGACATGTCAACCACAACTGCGACTGAATATGAGTATCATTACATCGATGAAAAAGACTTATTGCTTTGACTTTTTGTTTTCTAAAGCAGCTCAGGAAAACTCCCTTATCAGTGGGAAATCTTGATTTAAAAAAATAAAACAAAACAGAACTAAACCAAAAAAACCCCAGCATGCAGAAATGCAGGCTATGCAGGAAGATGCTTTCGCAACCCCCCCTCCCCGCCCCCTGGGATTACCAAAAAAATTACCTTATTTTAGATATTCATTAGTAAGAGTTCAGTTGAAATACTGCCATTCTAACCTTCAAACTGTTAACAACGGTGGAAAAACCTAATTAAAATATTAACAAATCTTACCTGTCGAATTATACTTTTTACACAACGGATGGGAAGGCCTTGATAATTGGATTTGATTATCCATTTTAGGAGATGATGTCCAAGTACTTCGAAGACCATACAGACATCTGGGATTTAATTAAGGATAATTTCCAAATAAACTTGTTGACGAGATCAACACAAATGTTTGTTTGCATACTGGCTAAAGCAATCATCACCCTCTTTAGAGGGAAAACAGTTCCCTGTAAAATGAGCAGAACATGGTACATGCTTTGGTATTGCATATCAATTGTATATAAAGACATACAAGAACAGTGCCCAAATGTAGAAGAAATTAAAAGAAAATATTTTAATTATGCAAATCTTGTCAGTTATTTCTACATGTCAACAATAGCATTATGGTGAACAACGAAATAGGTAACTGGAAAAAATAATTCAGTTTTGTTTTCTTAGTAACAGTTAAAAGTACTGATTTGGCCTATTATCTCTACTTTCTAATAAATTTAAAATTATATGAATAGAAGGTTTTAGCAACAAAAGTCTGTAGCAACAGCATTACAGAAAATGAACCATACTAAACAGCTTTTTGATTAGACTCAATTCTTGACAAGAAAGAGTGAAGTAGTAAGAGAATGGATCCCTTACCATCCACAGTTTTAACTGCAGAGAATAATGGCAATCACCAAGAACTCAGGAACAAAGAAAACGTGGCACTCGGAAGCAGCATGCAAAAAACACAATGCCAAAAAGTTTAATTTGACCCAACATCTACTATTGGCCACCAACAGAGGACAACAGTAGATGATCAAGGAAGAGTATTAGGAAAAAACAAGATGTAGGAACTTCCAGCAATCTGTGGTTCAAGTGCTTCCTAAGTCAGAGATTCTACATTTAATTTACCTGGGTAGGTCTACTGAGAAAATATTCAGATAGTCAAGCTAACTGTAAGTTTTATCATCCACAACATTCTGGCAAGAAAATATACAATTTCATTATACTGAGTTAATCCTCAGACATGAGCTGGAAATGACCTTAATGCCCCTGGAAATCAGAAAGAATGTTAAAATCTTCCACATGATACCATAACCTTGCAAAGAATAACGTAATACAAATAACGGAAGATGTATTAATTGATAGATACTGCAGGAAAATCTCAATGGATGAATCAGACTGTATCTCAGAGACCATTCATAGGGAACTACACTGTTACGGAAGAAATCTTACCTAACTTCTCTAAGCTTTATTAACTAGAGTCTTGGCAATGGTCTTAGAGTCACTGTCTCAACTCATGTCAAAATGAGACTTACCCTGTCTATCATTTACATTCTTCTCAAGTACCTACCTATATGCGTAAAGTTAACTGAAGTTTTAAAATCTACATCCCCTATGCTGGAGTTAGACCAAAGTTAAAAGGTCTCAAGGCTGGTCAAAGCACATTGTGCAGAACTGTAACATTTCGATTGCTGCTACCTGTTCATCTCACTTCACGTTCCTTAATTCCTGTATTAGATGAGACAGTGAATAGCAACCTCCCAACCATATCAATCAAGTCTACTCAGAATATTATGAAACTGTTTCTACTCAGAATATTATGAAACATCCTCAAAAGAGGAAACAGTCTCGGTTACTTTACCACACAAGCATCCAATGAACAGAAGTCACTATCAAAGCGCAGAGCCATCAAAAAGGATGAACAGAGCACATTAGCTCTGCAGGGCTCATTAATTTAGCCCACGCAGTGAAGTTGCAATTCTACAGCAACACAGATTTCAGAAAAGCAAGACACTGCAGTATTCAGAAATGAAATTTAGGACAGCCGCCCACAGTCCTTCAGGCCACTGCTGCTGCAGACTCTCCAGTACACATTCCTGCCATTCCTTGCACTTTCGGAAGTGCTAAGCCTTGCCAGTTACCAGAAGAGAAAGGGGTGCAGGGAAGTGAATAGCTTGAGAGGCAAGGGGAGGGCACAGAGAAGGAAGATCCTAGGAGGAATGGCAGAGGCAGGCGAAGGGCCACAAGAAAGAGAAGTGATGTTTACCTGAAAAAAGATTGCAACGTTTTGCTGGGAGGACTTGGACAAACTCAAGGCATGCTCAGTACTGGGGAAGCAACTGGGATGGGGAGAAGATATGCAGGAAGCTCAGCATTTGCAGTACGTATGCAAAAACATGACTGATGTCTGATTTACTATCCTGACCTGAAAAACATTAACCGTAAGCCAGACTGCCCACAACAAAGAGTTTGGGAAAAGCTGTGCATTAACTATTAGGAAACCAGCCTTGCAAGACCCAGGATCTTCCTACAGCACCAACATCCTGACAGATGAGGATGGCCACAAAGTCCTCCAGCAAAAATCACAGAATCACAGAATGTTAAGGTGTGGAAGGGACCTCTGTGGGTCATCTAGTCCAACCCCCCTGCTGAAGCAGGGTCACCCAGAGCGGGCTGCACAGGACCTTGTCCAGGCGGGTCTTGAATATCTCCAGAGAAGGAGACTCCACAACCTCCCTGGGCAGCCTGTTCCAGGGCTCCGTCACCCTCAGAGGGAAGAAGTTCTTCCTCATGTTCAGACGGAACTTCCTGTGCCTCATTTTGTGCCCATTGCCCCTTGTCCTGTCACTGGGG